AGATAGATAGATAGATAGATAGATAGATAGATAGATAGATAGATAGATAGCTAAGCTAGGTAGATAGATAGATAGATATCGTGATCTCTTCGACGACCCCAAGGCCTAGGTCGCTGAATCAAAGGGACTGAGAATCAGCTTTCACCTTGGTCAAGCAATGGCCCATTTAAGGCCTAGAGAATGACAGTGTTCAATTCCATCTGCCCTCCCTGCCCTCCCTGCCCTCCCAGCCCTCCCTGCCCTCCCTCCCCCTCCTCCGCTCCCTCCCCAGGTTCCTACATGAGCAAACAGGTCTGCAAATCCTCTGTTTCGTTGTCTTGCACATGCATAGAGCATATGAGCAACGAGACTCAAAGACGGCCTCCCATGGACTTGAAGAGACAGTGTACCCGAACACAGCTCACCCACCAAAAAAAAAATGGGGGTGTCAAGCAACATACGTGCTTCAGGTTGTGACTCACACCCATCGCTCTGAATGCGGGTGTGTTCCTGGATGTCTCCGAAATCCGTCTGGAGCCAAGGCACTCCTCGCTCCGTCGCCGCCATCGGATGTCCCAGCATCGGTGGACTCCTTCCGCGAACCCCGGCGCGAGTGGTTCCAGGAAGCTGAGAGGCTGGGAGAACGGGAAGGAATCGAATTTTCGGGTTCCAGTCACAGCTGGCACATCGATGCCAAGCTTGCTGTGGTTGATCCCAAGATCTGCAAGATCTGCGCCGAAGCCGAAGCTGGGACGATTCTTGAAAGCTTCTCAACACTGACAACATGGGGGCCTGTTTGTGCCAACCTTTGCGCCCGCAGATGAGAAAATGTGAACGTAACCGTAACCCGCTTGGAATCATGACCTTCTTCAGCCGCTGAGCGCTTTTTGGGCTGTTTAGTAGAATCATGGTCTCACAGTCTCATCAGAATACTTAAATCCAGTTAACTGTAATACTTGTAACTCAGCAACTCACAGGCGAGCTAGGAACCTCGTTGCTCTTCGACTCTCCTCGTCTTCTTCTCCGCAGAAGGTGAGGCTTGGAACCTGCACCGCGGCATCACTCGCGGAACCTGCACCGTCGGCCTTCTGCCGTGCCCTGCTGTGCCTAGCTGTGTCCCGTCGTCCGAAGGCTCTCACTTCTGACTTGGTCTATTGGAAAGCTTTGTTTTGTGATCTCGTACAAGCTTCAGGCTTCCCAAATTTTTTCATGGCTTTCATATGTTTTCTTCGAAGTGTCTTGAACCACCGGTGGAGACTCCAGAGTCTCCCCACGTCTTCCCCGGACGGCACCGCCGGGACCGTCCACGCCTGGGTGCGGCGGCCCAAAGGACAGGCCTCGCACGTCCAGTCCTCCAAGGGCGGCTTCGGCGCATCGCTCTTCACGCGGTAGAAGTCTCCATCGGAACGACTCAGGTCACCCTCGCGGGAGAAATACCTTACGGCGGTCACCGCGAGGCGAGGCGGCTGGAGAACGACACAGAGAACACGAGGCGGAAGAGAAGAGAACAAGAGGCCTCGGAATTGGGCTGCGGGATTGGAATCTTTGCACTTATATAGACCAAAGCCAGAGCTATCACCTATCTAAATAGTCTACTATCTAGGCGTACTAGGCATACTAGGCCATCACTAGTAGGTTGGAGGCCATCGCTCTTAGGTTGGATCTAACTTTAATAAATCACTTTCGGCAGTGGATCTCTGACTCCTTGGGATTCGAGCACCGGTCCAAGGTGCCAATAGGCAGTGCCACGTGCCTCAGAACGTGGTCCACCACACCAGTGAAGATGGTTCACCACAGGTGACCAAGATGGACTAATCCGACTCTTCTGGGAAAGAAAGAACGTATCTGATTTACAATAGAAACTACTCAGGGATAGTTAGATAGACAAGGAAGGAAAACACAAATAAATACACATATACCGTCTGGACAAACACTCAAAGCACTGTAGACATTGTAGACAGCAGATTTTCGGAGATCCATGTTGATCAATGTACTGCTTAGTGCCCCCAAATGCCAGGCTTTCTTTGGAACCGTTCCTTCGAATGGATCTGCTTCACGTCAGAGCTCCGAGAGTTTCGAGGCCTACAAGGCCAGTCATTTTGAGGTGTCTAATTATATGAACTTCCAAGGTGCCATGCGATACTTGAAGAGAAGGGTGCCATGCTCATTCACATACACGGGCGCATTGCAAAGATCGCTCCCTGGCAGGTCAAAACGAAGTCTTTGATGTCGGGGGAGGGAATCTCCTCCCAAAAAATTGGAGATGAACCCAGCAGTGACTCAGTGGACATGAGCTCTGCTTTCTTCTGCCAGCATGTCTCTGACCGGATTGGCTCTTCGCCAGCTCGCCGGTTACAATAAAGCCTACGTTAACCTGAAGAGCTTCGTGGCTCTCAGATGCAAAACGATGCAGGGGCGATAAAAGAAAGCACTGGCTACCTAAAGGTCCAAAAACCTGCAGATGCCAAGCTCCAGTCATCACTGATTCGCGGAACCTCTGCCAGCGTGGAAAAATGGCAGAGATCAGCAGCTCACCCTAGCCAGCCCCCCCTTCAAGGGGCCTGCCAAGACATGGCAAAAACACGTCAAAAGAACCAGAACCTGGTCAAAGAGAGCAAACCAATCAGAGACCAACTCCCCCAGCAGCCTCGCGCCGAGTCCACCGCCACTGAGCCCGCGTTGGCCGGGCAGGTGCCCAAACGTCTCTCCGAGCCGAAGGGGATCTTGGAACCGGCCTGTGCCATGGCTCCTTGAATGGCCTCATTCATGGCCAGTTCCACCTTCCCCTGCACAAGTTCACTGAGCTTCTCTCTCAAGGTCCCCTCCAGTGCTTTGTTCACCAGATTCTTGATGTTGGCCTCCCCCGGAAAGTTGGTGATTTCAAATCTTGCGAGCTCTAGATGCTGAATGTCCAGTAGGAAGCTTTCAACGCCACCACTCAAAGCATCCGAAGCGCCGGCGAAGATCTTCTGGAAACCAGCTTGGGCAAAGGCTATGAGCTCGCTGATCTGGAAGGTGAGATGGACTTCAGCATTCACTCTCCATTGGACGCGTCGACAAGCAACGTTGGTGAACTTGTTTGAGCCTCCATCTTGCACAAAGTTTGCAGATGCTTTCACCACGAGACTCAAGGGACATGTCCGAACGGCCAGGCGAAACTTCACGGCCGTGTCCTCAAAGGAGCTGGAGTCCACATACTGCCCGGACACGTCCAAATCCTCCAAAGTAAAGGCTGAAAGACCGGTCACCTCATCAACAAAGACCTCCTTCAGATCGTAGTTGCAAGGCTTGGTTGCCACTCGCAAGTTCACACCCAGGTCGATGTTCGTGACAGGATCCTGGGCTTGAAGGGTCTTCGTCAGCATCGAATTGACTCCTGCACGGCAAAATTGCAAGAAAAGAACTGCATGGATGGTTCAAGATTTGAGGTTTCCATACCCTCCCTGAAACCATCATGGAAGCCAGTCACTGAGCGACCGGAAACTCTCCGGCCTGCAGCATCCAGCATCGGCATGATTTGATAGTTCAAGGGCTCCCCAGACATGCCCACCTCTTTGGCCAACTTGAAGACTCGGCATAAGTTCACCTGACCGGAAAAAAGCAGAAAAACACCCGAAAACCATGTGTGTACTATATTGTATTATATGGTATGTCTTGTATGTGATATATTATCTATATATTGTACAATATTATGTATAATATGTATAGTACAGT